CAGACTGGGTAAAAAAAATGTCATCTAAGTCAGGCCAGGGTTAGATCCATGAGCAACTCTTAGCTATCATGTGACACAATAAGGAAACATGCTGGATCAAAGATATCCAACTAGGCTGTCACTTTAATAATCAAACTAGATCCAGTTAATTGTGAGAATGTCTCAGTGATGCACAATGGGGCCTCCTGCCAAAGCAAAGAGAGAACAGAGAAAAGGAGAAGGAGCAAAAGGGAGAGAAGCAGAGGGGGTAGAAGGAAGGAAAAGAAAGAAGAGGAGGAGGAAGAGGAAGAGAGACAGAAGAACTGACTCATGAATGGCAATTCATAGTTTACAAAGCCCCTAAACAAAATAATATCCCACCTTGATCTTCATAATCACCCCGTGACTATTATACTTTTGCTGAAGATGAAACTAAAGCCCAGAGAACTGAAGTGACTGCCAAGGCTGTGTGAATTGATTTCATTCCAGGGGTCTTTCTTTTGACAAATCTCTTTCTATGTCATATGACAGGTTTTGGGGTATGTGTGTGTGGTCTTCCCCACTATTCTGTGTGAGCACCTTAAGGACAAGACTGGATTACGTTCAAGTCTATTCTCCCTACAAAATCTGAGGTTCAACACCTCCCACATTGTAGGTGCTCTGTAGATGTGTTGTGAGTGAATGAACAAATCCCCAAGTAGAGTACTTAAAATCTGATGCCATACGACTGGTCTTCTTTCCCTAGTTCCATTCTCTTGGTGATGGGCAAGACAAGGTGGGACCATTTACTTAGACATGCCCTTCCGTCTTTTCAGGAATCAGCCTAAGGACTCAAGTAATGGCATTTAGCCATTTATGGAGCAGTTAGCATGGAGTTCTATATACCTAGAGAAATTCTCACACTGCTTATTTCATGCCATGAGGTGGCAAAGCAGGAATTGTTTGTGACTCATGTTTTGCTGAAGAGAAGACTGCAGTCTGGGGAACTTAAGAGGCCTGCCTGGGCTCACCCAGTGTGAGGTGGCTGAGCTCAGATTTGAAATCTTCCACGGAAGCTCTGGGCCTTGTTCTCAGTGTTCTTTCTCTTGTGTCCTTCTGACACTTCACGATGTCTCAGCCAACTGAACAAGGATACAGCCTGCCCATGCCCAAGCCATCTGATAATGTGAATGCTCATAGAATCAAGATAATATGACGGCCTTCCTATCTAAAAAAGATCTTCACATCAATGTAATCACTTTCATGGATGACACAGTTAGCACTTCTTTCTGTAAAATTGCTTAAGTTTCCCGCGTGGACAGGTAAACATTGGTTATTTGTACGTGCTCTACAACTTGGTAGAAATGGCCCCATGGTGGGTGATGGGATAGGACTTCTGGCCCTTCACGTTTCCTGAACTTCATCCAGTTGACTGCTCACTCGGCCCTTCCACAGTGCCCTGAATTTTGCCATTATTGGTAATGATCTCAGAGGGACGTTTTTGTGGTCATTCTTTCTATATCTGAGAAAAAAATAAATTTTTAAAATCAAATTGTTGTGTCAGAGAGAAGGTACATTGTCCAATAAAATAGTCAATATATGAAGAAAAATAGTTCACTCTGAATATTTTAAAATAAATGTTTATTGAATGCCTACTATATACCAATTCTAAGCACTAGAGATACAAGAAAGGATGAATCCAATAGACAAAATCTCTGAGCCCATAGAGTTTATATTCTAGCAGGATGAAATGGACAGGAAAGACACAAACAGGAAATATAACTGGGTGCTGAGCCTATGCAGAAGAATCCATCGGGGGAAGGGAGATAAAAAGCCATGGGTGCACAGGGTTACTATTCAGTAGAGGTGAGATTTATTTTTTTTTAAATTTTTATTGTTACATTAATCACCATACATTACATCATTAGTTTTAGATGAAGTGTTCCATGATTCATTGTTTGTGCACAACACCCAGTGCTCCATGCAGAACGTGCCCTCTTTAATACCCATCACCAGGCTAACCCATCCTCCCACCCCCCTCCCCTCTAGAACCCTCAGTTTGTTTTTCAGAGTCCATTGTCTCTCATGGTTCATCTCCCCTAGAGGTGAGATTTAAACCAAGGTCTATGGGCAGTAGCACACCTTACTCCTTATTGCCATCTGGAGGGGAAGTGATGGAGGGAACATGATCTGAAAAGATCTTGTCGTGGGAGTGTGCTTGTGTCCTGGGAACAGCAGGGAAGCCCGTGAAGCTGGAACGGAGTCCATGAAGGGAAAGCGGTAGGAGATGAGGTCTGAGAGGCAACAGGGGAGCCTACTGGGCATGTCAGGGCCTGAGCGGGATTATGGCTCTGACTGAGTGAGACAGGAAGTCATTGGAGCATTTTGAGTGGAGGTGTCACATGACCTGACTTAGGTTTTAAATGACTCACCTAGCTACTATGTGGAGAACAGACTTGGTGGGGTGGGCAGCGAAGGGAGGTGGGTATGAGGAGGAGAAGGGAGATGGATAAATAGGCTATTCCAAGAGTTTAAGCTTGAAATGATTGTGGCTTGGGCCATAATAGTCTATGCCGTTGGTCCAGAATAGAGAGAAATCTCTGGACCAAATTTAGGGATAATTTATCTTTAAAGGCTTGAACTATAGATGAGAGTTCAGGAAAATGTAAACTCAATTTAAAATTTTGTGACCATTTCTACCTCTCTAGAGTAACACAAATAAATATTATTTTTGCTAAGTATATAGGCAATTTTTCCTTCCAGCTGTGAAAAAATAAAGTAACATTGTATATCATTTTTCTTGGTTCTTGTATGACTTGAATCATTAAATGGGTTGTGAACTGAATAATTAAGCCAATTGTTAAGTTGATAAAGACGCAAAAGAAGTAACTGTCAGGACTCCACAGAAGTTAATGATAAAGCTGAGTAACTGAGGTCAGAAAAGTTGAATTTCTCTCAGGAATGTAAATATTGTTATCTTAAACTTATGAAAGAGGCACGGGTCACTAGCTGTGGAAGAGAACCCATTTTGTTGATAACGAAACTGAGACTCAAAGAAGATAAACTGTCCAAGTGTTACAAAAGTTGGACCAGAACCTGATCCAAACATGTCTCACATGTTGCCTCCTCCATAAAATGTTTTCCTTATAAACATACCTTGTTGCTAATATGTTAGAGGGGTTCAAGTAGATTGTTTATGGCTGCTCCAATTAAGAACCCTGGGCTTGTCCATTTCTTCAGCACCTAACATGAATTGGCTCCCATCTGTGCTGTCCTGACTGCACTATCTTGGTTCCTTGATCTCCTTTCTTTAACTCACCCTCTTAGCCTCACATAGCCCCATGGGAATTCGAGTTTTTCAGCTCTGTCTGCTTTTCCTTGGGGAATCTCTCTGCCTGGCTTGTTTCTGCTCACTCTACAGAGAGGGAGAAGCTAAGGAGATAACACCTGGATGTTCTGGTGAGTTGGGAGAACCCCCAAACTTTATTCTTTTTGTTCCCTCTCGAAAAGGATTTACATCTTCAAGCCTTGGAATTTCAATATGTGACTTTATTCTCACTAGTATATTTTTGTTTGTGGATTAATTTTCTGAGCAAAGAACACAGTGTGAATTTGCATGTCAAAAAACACATAGGATTCTTTTTATTATGTTTTTGGGTACCACTACTTTGAAAAACAAACTGAGAGCAAGGATTGGCCAACTTGGAAAGGCACTAGAAAGCTACCTGGCTCTAGGATGCGGTGGCCTTGACACTTCCATCAATGCCATTTTCCCCCAGGGCCTCTGCTTTCGGACCTGTGCAACGAAGGGGAGACTGGGGCTTTGCTGGACAGATCTGCCGGGGGATCCCAGACACTCATTCCTAAGACGACCGTGCCCCTGCCAGACTTGTTCTTCCTATCTCCAGGCCCTTTATGAAGTCCCATCCTCACCCACAATCCCAGCATCCTCCTTCATAGTCTCAAATTCTGTGACTCCCGTTCACACTGATAAATATTTACGGAGACCTTCTCTTGTGCTCACTGCTAGATCAGGCACCATGAAGCAACAGAAAAGAAACATGTCATTTCTTCCCTTAAGAAAAACTAACTGGAAAGGAGACCGGTGTGCATTAGTGAAAAGTTGGCATTATAGATTTTTTTTAAAGGGATGAAGCTGTAGTGTCTTTATGCACCTTTAGTCATTCAAAATAAGCCCAGGAAATGCCGCTTAGGAAAGCACTTAGAGGAATGTTTGAATTAATCTACCAAAATGCTTTGAAATTAACAAATCAAGGGCTTCTTTGTAAATGGGGGGGATCAGAAACTCAGAAAACAATTGATTCTCTTCACTATTTTAAACATTTTTGTCATAGTTTTACAATATTAATTTGTTCTGTTACAAGGGGAAAAACAACAGTCTAGAGATTTTTTGAGGGATCACATTTTCAGAATGATTGGAATCTAAAATCTGAAGAAGTACAATCCCTCTGCCTGGAATGCTCTGCTGCGCCTCTCTACTTGTCAAAATTCTAAAGATCTTTGATGGCTGAGCTCAAAGATTGCTTCATTCAGAATAATAGTAATTCCATGCGGTTGCCTCTCTGCACTCCCTTCAAGCACTCATGACCTGCACCTTGCTTCACAGCAACTTGAGTGTGTGCCATCTCTTGTTCCAGGCTGGGCTCCCCGGAGCAGGGAGAACGTCTACTTCACCTGCTCATCCTGTGTCTTGTGAGTAGCAGGTTTTTGGATGATGTTAGAGCAGTGGTCTGGTTGCCATTCTGTGATGGATGACTCTGTCAGTTCAGATACAGGTTCAGCTGTTTCTAACAGAGACCCCAAATGATAATGGCTGAAACAAGCTAGGAATTTCTTGCTTGTTTACATAAAAAAATCACCCACAAGGAGACTAGGTCTAGCCAGGTAGCACTAAAATATTTGGAAGCCAGGCTCCTCCGATCTTGTTCCTCTGTTATCTCTAGTATGTTGTCCTTATCTATGGGTTATAAAGTAGATTATCTACCCTCTTTGTATTCCAGACCATTGGAAAAAGAAGAAGGGGGAGTAGAGGTCCCCGACTTCCATTGAAGACACAACTGGGCAGTGATATACATTGCTTCCACTCATATCCCATGGAGAACCCCATCGTATGGTCCCACCTAGGAGCGCTGTGCTAGAGCCCACTTCTATGGCATGTGAGGGCCCCGTGTGTACATTTCCTCCCAGCTCCATGTTCTGTGAGTCATGCTGAGTTGCTTAAAATTGGTTATGGGAGAATTAACACTACAGATAATAATCAGGGATTTTGTGTTTTTCTTCCAGAAGAGCTGATTAAAATTTACCAGTAATCCACAGCACCTAGCTGCAAGAGAAGCTAGAAGATGTAGTCTTCCTTTTTTTTCTGGACAGCCACATTTCCAGCTAACAATTCCGTATGCGGGAACAAGGTTTTGTAGTTCTATAGAAGCTACAAATGGATATTTGGAAATCATTAGAAGTCTCTGTAAACATGACATCATCTGGAAACAGGAAAAGGAAAATTGGAAAACCTGTTTTTAACTGTGAGAAAACAGATCTACCTGTAAGTGTGCATAGGTGAGGCTTATTGCTGCCATCTCCAGACGTGGAGCACCGTGCGAGACAGAAGTTCAGCTTATTTGCGTGGACTCAAGTGTAGATATCTGGGTGGAGGTTGCATGAGTCAAATTCTGCCCTGACTGTTGGCACTATGCAGAAATGCAGCACTGGTTCTCTCCATGGCAAGTGTCCAGGCAGGAGCCTAATGATCACTTACAATGTCTCCAAAGAGGTTACCCTGCCCATCTCCAAGTTCATCCTTCAGCCTCAAGCACGATTCTCCTGATCCCTCGATTCTTAGGGCTTCCAGTACTCTCCTTTGCTGCACTCACCACAGTTGTAATTATGAGTACAATCATTTGGCTCACGTCCGTCTCCTCTACTGGAGTGTAGAAGCGACCACATGTGGCCTCGGTCCCTAGGGTCCTAGTCCAAGAGGCTTTCCTTGATTTTCCAAGACTGTGTAGGTCTCCCATGGAACCCTGTCCTCACCCCACGTGGCACTGTCACCAGTGTACTTTAATAACCATTGTGTCCACTGTGTGTACCCAGGAACACATGGGGGGGAATGAGGGACAGATGCTGGGCTTGTAAGCTTGTAAACGGCTCACGACAATTATTCTTTAGAAACAAGGTATTTCGATACAAAACAGAACAGAAAGCAAGTGAAGGAAGTGGTACGAAATACTACCAGACATTGAGGGGAACTGAACTTGATTCCAAGCTTCCTGGAAACGAAGTATAAAAAGAGAACATCCTGGGTTACTGGATTTTCTTTTTCTAATAGGACAGAACATGTGAAGCCCTCTGCAGAAGCCAAGTTTTCCCAGTGATTGATTAAAATGAGACTATTGTTTGCTCCCAGTTAATGTGTAAGCACGATCGAACCTCTCCTAACTCCAAACAAGACAGAGAAAGAAAAGAAAGCTCCCTCCATCCCTCTCAGTAGCTGTCCTACCCACCCCAATTCCTTCCTACACGGGTTGCACTGGCTTGGCTTCTTCATCTCCCATTCATGGCTCGCTTACTGCACCTTGCTTCGGCTCTCCCCGCTCTACCTGAGCTGCCATCATGTCACGAAAGGCAACAGCAAAGCTGTCCGGGCTCTGTCTAAACTCCCATCTTTATTGCAGTTGACATTTCTTAATTAATTTGAAACTCTTGTCCTCGCTATATTAGGTCCCTTGGTTCTGTGACATCAAACTGTTCTGATTTTCTTCCTATCGTCCTAAATGCTCTTTCTCAGTCCCTGTGAAGGACTGCTTGGGTTCTGTTCCTCTATTAATGTTGGCATTCCTCAGGTTTTAAAAGTTTTTTTTTTTTTCTCTGACCCTTTCATTTCTCACTCCACATACTCTCCCAGGCAAATTTTATCTGCTCTAATGGCTTTAATTGCTATCTAGATTCTAATGACTCCCAAATTTAGATCATCAGACTGGATTACCCACCCAAGCTTCAAACCCACATATTTAACTTCCTTGTGGATACTTTGTATGCTCCTCAAACCCAGCATGCCCCAGTATTTTCCCTCCTTTTTAATCTTTTATTCTTCATGGAAGAATAGAAATCTTGTCATCAGCTTTAACTCCTCCCTCTGTCTGACTCCTCATCCCCTCACAGTCAGCCACCAAGTCCTGTCAGCGTGACTCCACTGATCGCTATCATCAGTGTCCCCACCTTAGTGCAGGCCCCTGGGTTTCTACCACAAATCTGACTTAACCAGCTATGCCCTGGACTTGCCCTCCAGAGTGGTCTTTCTGAAGCAACACTTGGAACTTCTACCTGCCCTACCTCACACTTATCAGTGGCTCTCCATGACCTTCAGGATAAAGCCCTGACTCCATAATGAGGCTTTGCCAGCCCTGCCTGGTCTGGTTCCTCTTACCTTCCAGCCTTACCTCCTTCTCATTCCCAAACCCCACTCGGCCAGGCCACACCCCCGCCGGCCGCATCACACCTGCTACCCACGGCAGGCACTTGACGCTCTCTTGCCTCAGGGCCATTGCATGTGCTGCCCTCTTCTCTCCCCAGCCCTCCACACATGTCCTGGATTACTCCAATCACTCTTCCACTCTCACCTTAGAAGTGACTTTATTCTTTCATGCATTCAGTAAATACTTGCTGAGCAACCTACTGTGTGCCCGGCACCACACAGACACTTAGGGTACAACAGGAAGCAAGGCACGTGTGGCCTCTGTCCCTAGGGTCCTAGTCCAAAGGCTTTCCTTGATTTTCCAAGACTGTGTAGGTCTCCCATGGAACCCTGTCCTCACCCCACATGGCACTGTCGCCAGTGTACTTTAATAACTTTTAAACTAGGGCATAAACTAGATAATAATAATCTGTAGAGGGACAGATGACAGACAGCAAATATATTTGGCTTTGCAGGATATACAGTCTCTGTCAGAACTACTCAACTCTGCAGTTGTAGCTGGAGAGCGCCATAGATAATACACAAATGAATGGATGCTGCTGTGTTCCATGACTCTATTCACAAAAGAGGAGGGTGAGCCAGCTTTGGCCCATTGGGCAGAGTTTATTGACCCCTGCTCTAAAGAGCTAAACTACGACGTTCTTATTCACCTTTGTTTTATTTTTTTAATTATTATTATTATTTTTTAGATTTTTATTTATTTATTTGACACAGAGAGAGAGAGCAAGAGGGGGAACACAAGTAGGGGGAGTGGGAGAGAGAGAAGCAGGCTTCTCGCTGAGCAGGGAGCCCTGCTCGGGGCTCGATCCCAGGACCCTGGGATCATGACCCAAGCTGAAGGCAGACGCTCAACGACTGAGCCACCCAGGTGCCCCTCTTATTCACCTTTGTACCCACAGTGCAAATGTGGTGCTCGACATAGAGGCTTCCTTATGAAAGTATGTTGGATAGATAAGTGAATGGTAAGTGAACAAGTTAGGACAGATCTGTGTACTCTTTCTCCTGTGGCCATATCTCCTTGGTCACAACATGCTCCACATTCACTCTGTGTAGTCAGTGAGCCCTCAGTGGGATAGTTTATCTGTTGTGCTTAGCTAAACACTTTCATTGAGCAAATACCGTGTCAGAAGTTTTGGTTCTTTTGGTGGTAGTGGTCAAGTTTCGAGTCCTTTGTCCCTTGCTACCCCCCAACCATTGTTTACAGCATGGTGGTGGGTTTTTTTTTTCTAGATATGATAGTTAAATGTTGGAATATCTGGATATACTTCATTAATTCATTATAGGCTTTACTCATTTTATTTGTGTGTGTATAGATGTATTCATTCCTCTGTTCCACAACTACTTATTTAAACCTACTTTAGAACTTTTCCGGAGCAGATAGAATATTAGAAAAAATTCAGTTAAATCTATGCACAGAGCATCTATCATGCATGGGGCACTAGCAGAAGCTTCAGCATGCAGTGGGACAAAGATAACTCAGATAAGGTACTTTCACTAAAAGGCTAATAGCGCAGAGAGGAAATAGGAAATAAGTAGGTGAATAAATAATTCTGATTCAATGTAGAAAGTGCTAAGTTCCCTGAAGAAGGTATCAGCAAAGTGCTCTGGGACCTTCATAGGGAGTAAAATTTATTTTCAGCCAGAGATCAAAGAAGGCTCAGAGGGAGAAGTGTGTAACCTGAACATGGAAAGGTAGATATTTGGATACTGATAGGGCACTAAAGGGCCTTCAAGAGAGAGGAAAGTATAGGCATACCCACAAGTTACTAGAAAGCAAGTTTTAATGAAGCTATGTCCAGGGACTGGCTGATAAAAGTGCAGCCAAACCCCTTCAAGAAGGTGCCAAGTCCATTCTGGTCTGGAATGCATTGATAATTGGGACATTATGCTCAGAGACTGCAAATTGACATTCTGTCGTCATCCCTCTTGGAATAGAAACCCTGATCCTTTAAAGTAATTAGCACCAATTTGGAGCATGGGTGCAAAAATAAATCACAAGTGTCCAAAAACAGATACATTAAGTTCAGTGGTTAAGAAGCAAACGACATTAAGTTCAGTGGTTAAAAAGCAAACGTTCTTATTAGCCCCGCCTACATAAACAAAATCAGAAGCAATTAGCATTTAAAAATAGAAGAGAAAAGGAGAGTTCACAGCTCCCACTGGAAAATTATTATTTATATAAATGTCCACGATGATGACTTCCACTCGCCCTTTCTGATCTCAGTCACGTTATTTCAATGGCTAAAGGATCAGTGTTCTTTCTTTGGAGTGAGGAGAGAGAATGGTGATTCTATGCTTGTTTTCCTGGTTGGAACTGAGAGGTGTGTGTCTGCTGGCAAACAAACAAGTAGAGCTTCATCTCCTCTGTCCTACCCCTTCATTGTGCCTCACCCCATCCTCTGGATAGATGAGAAGAAGATTTGCTGTGTCTCGAGATCATCAGCTGATCTGCCCCCAGAAGCCCACTCGCACAAAGCAGAGTTGGCCTTTGCTAACGGAACACCTGCCTGTTGGAGAGAGCCCCAGTGCCCCGTCCTGAAGAAGGGTAGTGGTTCCCATGGACTGACCAGTGCATATTCCAGAGTGGCCCTTGACGTGCTCTCTATAACATTGCATGCCTCCGTCCAGATGGAGCCTCTCTGCTGACCCTGGCTGTGAGGATGGAGGGGCAAACTGGTCATGGAGCACTGAGGCAGAGATGTGGAGATGTTTGGTGAAATCAAGTGCACCAGCCGCTGGCTCAACAGGACTCTGAGGTGAACTATGTCACTAACTTGCTATGGAAGCCTGGCTGAGCTGATTGCTCTTCACAGCCAAATTTTCCCATCCTTAAAATTAGGGGCTGAACTGGGTTATCTTCTTGCTTTATTCCATATAGTTTTGTGGTGACTGATTTTTCCCTCTTAAAGACATAATTCAAGTCTTTCATCTGCCTCTTTCCATCCACTTGCTTAGAAAGATGTGGAGAATGGAAGGTTGGGGGGTGGGGTATAGGACTCAAGTATTTTTCTGTTCCTCATATGTAAAATGTGTGAAAATCACCCCCATTCTTTCTTCCCTGAAAGACTGTGGCTCTAGGAACACAAGATTGACCTGGAGAACACAGAAGCTCCACTTGGCAGGGTTGTGGTAGAACCCACCCGACTGCTATCAGTCTGAGAAATAACCATCACATTTAAAGTTGGAATAATTAAGGGCTAAAGAAGAAAGCATTTGCTCAGGGTGGCATGGTAAAAGCAGCTATGGTTCAATCCAATTTCCGCCATGTCTTTCTTCCTCCAGCTTTGGGATGTCTGACCAGGAATCGGGGTTGAGGGATTGACGAACATATGTCCACTTCATATAAAAATATCAGCAGAGTTTTGTGGTGGTGGGAGGTAGAGAGTGGGTTAAATCTTTGACCATTAGTTTTTATTAGGGCTTCTCTCATTTTTTCATACTTCCTTTTCCCCAAGTTTCTTCTTTCCCCTTGGATTAATACCAGTCACCCTGGCCACCTTGCACATACAATTTTTTTTTTTTTTGCAAAATTTAAGAGCTCAAATATCTCCTTCTTGTGTATCTTCCCATCTGCCAGTCAGTCTCTATTCCAACACCTCATCCGTACTTTCTTTAGCAATTACCTCAAGCTTTTCTAAGTTCCCTGTGTAAAGGTCCATCTCCTCTGTTAAGCTGTAGCTATTTGAGAACTGGAAACATCTTTGTATCCCTATTTCCAAGCCCAGAAATTCTGCTCAGTTGTTTATTGAATAAGTTAATGGAAGAAAGAGGCATTTCATCTGTATTCAGATTATGCCCTAGAAGCCCCCTGGAATGATGATACGCTCAGTAGAAGCCTCCATTTTATCCTTTATAAGGAATCAGGAACAGTCAGAGAATGGGAAGATGGGTCTTAGATGCATCAGATCCCCTCCCCTTTGTCTCTATGGCT